CCCCCCCCCCCCATCCATCCACTTTACCACACTCCGGCAAGACTTACTACAGCAGAGCCACCATCTCCGCTGCTGCTATCCCCTATTCCCGTCCTACCAGCTAGCCCCCTCACTAGTAGGACGCGTGATATCCCACCATCTCCTTCCCCACTCCCCCTCGTTCTTTTTTGGCTCAAAAAACTGGAGCTACTTAGGAAATGACTACAACAGGCTTCAAGAATCAGCAGGATTCAAAATCCGACTCGAACCCCCCCCGCCCCCATCAATCCTCTGTTCCTCACTCCGGCAAGACTAACTGCAGCATAGCCACCATCTCTACTGCTGCTATACCCTATTCCAATCCTACCAGCTAGCCCCCTCACTAGTAGGACCCTCAGGACCAGCAAATTGGACGAGTTTTCGGCCAAAAAACTCGGTTTCAATTTCATACAAAAAGTAAAAAATGTCCATTTTGACGAAATGGCAGAATGGCAGTTAGATATGAAGTAATACTCTTGAAAAGGAAAACAGAAACCATAGAAAATAAAAATACGGACTGTTTCTTCTCACGGATGGTCACACAACAAAAGAGAGCAAGATTTTTTTTTATTTTTATTTTTTTTATTTTTTTTCAACACCCCCCCCCCTGCAGTGCTAGTGGTGCTGACGAGATCAGAGACCACTAGCACCCGGGGAGAGGCTCCATCTATTGGTGGGGAGCATCACCTGCTGGAAAACGGGTCCAGCGTCCCTTTACAGAATGAAGACGGAAAGAGTTCAGGATGAATACCGAAAGTTGTGTAAAACCTGCCAGCATTGATTACTCTGGCTTCCAGGGGATTGACTGCGCACGTGATTACGGGAGGGGAGGGGAGGAGACCTCTTCGCCCCAATACCAGGCGCCAGATATCTGCTTCTAAACAACTAGTTCCTCCCTCAGCATTTGAGGGACTCTCAATTCCGCCAGCATTGATTACCCGGGAGAAACCCCGGGGATTGGCTGAGTGGCCTACTTCTGACCTTCGGCATGCAACATCCGGGGGGCACCGGAGGGGCTTTTCTCAGGCTCCTCTGATCTTGTCATGATTATATCTCACTCCTGCAGCCGAGTCATGTAACTTCTATCAGGGCCGGTAGGAAGAGAGCAAGATTAATCCAGAAATGGTAAAATATGCAAATCAGATATCATAAGTTCATATAACTTCCTAACCTTTGGGAAAAATAAAAAATGTAGACTAATAGTCTAGTAATAGATAAGCTTCTACACACTGATAAATTACATGCTAAAACCTCAACAGCAATTCCATCATCCAACGACACTAACTTGATCACAATACTCAACCATCCGGAAGGGCCCTCCCAACCCCCAGCAAAGGACTCTAATAAACTATGTGAGTACGTCAGGATTTTCTACCAACAACTGCTCACTTTTGAGAACCCCCCCAACCCTCCCATAGTGCCTCCTCACCTAGAACATCTTCTACGCAGCTCTACGTCCAGAATTCTTAATGAAATGGAAACATCATGAGCTCACTAGAGAACCCCATAACACTGTAAGAGATCACCGCAGCGGTTAACAGAATGGCCAAGGGCAAATGCCCAGGCCCTGATGGACTGCCTGTGGAATTCTATTTTTGCTTTTGGACGCTTCTCGCTCCCGATATCTTCAGTCTTTAATCAGATCCTCAAAGGCAACCCTCTTGGCCCTAACACGGCCGAAGGGATAATCACCCTCCTGTATAAGAAGGGTGACAAGACGAACACGGCCGAAGGGATAATCACCCTCCTTTATAAGAGGGGTGACAAGACTGACATCAATCTTTCTGCTAAATATTCGTGTCAAAATCCTAGCTAACATACTTGCACACCAAATAAAACCCCTCCTCAACGGATACAACTTCCACTCAGAAGCTTAGTCCCTACAGGCAGGAGTCACTCTCAGCAGGCAACGCACAGCAGAGTCCTTAAACCTGCTGTTGGGTCTGCTTTTCGTCCATTGCAACTGTTGTTATCGTCTTTGGAAACAAAGGTGGGGGGACTGCAGTGGCTACATCTGCACTCTTGTGCCCCCACTGCTCTCTGGTGCTCAGAGAAATGTATGGATATTTTTGTAGTGTGTGACGCTTGTTCACATTCCTCTTTAGAGGACTGGTTACATTTATGGTGGGAATACATCATCGCTAGAGGCTTTTGGGAATTTCTTAATACCATGGGCATGCGCATACCACTCTCACAGGATTTTGGAACGAAGATCTAGTAATCACTAGATCTAGCAGGTATGGGAATCTGGACGCATGGGGGAGTTGGTTGGGCAGGGTGTTCTCACCCTATTATACAAAAAGGGAGATAAAATGGATATCAGAAATTACCGCTCGATAACCCTACTGACAGTTGTATACAAAATGCTTGCAAAAGCCCTGGCGAATCGCCTGATCCCTGTTCTGGAAACACTTATACACCCTACGCAAACAGGGTTTGTTAAAGGGCGTAGAATTCAAGATAATATTATTTTGGTCAACGAGCTCTTGAGAAGATGAGACCAACACGACAAGATAAACGTAATGCGGCTGTGATCTTCATAGACTTCGAGAAAGCGTATGACCATGTAGACTGGCTCTTCCTAGACAAATGCATGGAAAAAATGAACGTGGGTCCGCTCTTCCGGAGATGGACTACAATTTTGCATCAAAACGCCACCACCAGAGTCCAGATTAAAGGATATGCTGGCTCCGGAAGTTCGGCTACAGCGGGCGGTACGCCAAGGGGACCCGCTGGCCCTCTTTCTCTTCATCATCATAATGGAAGCGCTGGTGACAAACCTTCGTGCCAACAAGGACTTGAAGAAACTTCAAATCTCCGCCATCCCAAAGGAAGCCATCCCTGTTTGCTCAATGTCTACGGATGATTTGACCATTATGCTAGATGCCTCACCTGCCAACATGGAGGAGATTAGAAACCTCATGGACCGTTTCACAGCTATATCTGACATGACCGTCAACTGGGGAAATAAAACATTGGGGTGGTGGATTCATCACCAAGGAGTACACCCCCCTGAGCAGCCAAGAGTCAAATGGGGACCCGCAGAGGCCCCGATTCGGGTCCTAGGTATTATGATGACAGCCGTGGACAAACCAGCGTCTAACGACGATTGGATTCTGAAACCGACACTGGGAAAGATCGCTCACTGGAACGACAAACGGACATCGCTGATGGGTAGGGCTTTGGCCATCAATAACTCCATTCTGGCTTCATTGTGGTACGAGTCTGCAATATGAGTCCTTAGCAAGGAGGAGGTCAAAGCGTTGAAGAGACGGGTTACGGCGCTGCTCTGGAGAGGGGACAACAATCTCCCAAATGTCATCAATAGAGTTGCTTGGTCAACGGTGATTCAACCCAAAGACAAGGGCGGTCTAGGAATTCTGGACCCTGCTATTCAAGTCACAGCAATAACTGTACAGTGGATTGGACGACTGTTATTCAACCCACGTCTCCCATGGGCGGCCCTGGCCTTTGAACAAATTGCACGCTTAGCCCCCCAGGCCTCCTGTGAGGTTGAACCGCTGACTTGGCTCGAGGACCGTTTTTGGTCCATACCTCGCCTCTCCAAACACCAGAGGGATACAGAACGAGGGGCTACCAAACGTGACCTAGCTGGGGATGACTTCTGGATTAGGTCACTCCGCGCGTGGCGTCAGCTCCCCATGCCAAACAAGAGTTGGTCGTCCAGGTGGGAAGAGGTGATGAGACAACCCCTCTTTGGGAATTTGTATATCACGGACCGGCAAGGGAGAGTATTCCGCAGTTCGGACCCCCCGTGGTGTGGCTGGGACAAAAAGGGGGTGGTAAGAATCCGAGACATATGGGACGTACAAGGAAAAAACTGGAAAACAGAACAACAACTGAAACCTAAATTGAAATATTGCCACCACGTGGGTAACAACCTAAAGGAACTGATCTTCTCTGTGCCTCTGGATTGGGTGCGCATCCTGCGTAAAGGACCGCACCTGCAAGAAGGAGACTGGGTAGCAATACCAGACGACACAAAAAGTGTGGGGAATATTGTGATGGTAAATGCACAGGAAGCACTAGTGAACCTTTTTCACCGAGAGGATAATAACAGGCTCACGAGGTACTACACTGATGTGGAGAGATGGTGGAAAAAGAACGATCTACACCGCATCCGGGTGATCCACACACGAGAGGATTGGTTCACATTCCTCCCCGATATCCTGTTGGCTGAACTTCCCTTCGACCCGGAAGAGTGGCAACATGCGAGACCCGGTTCCAAGGTCAGGGAACCGACGCGCCCACCGGACAGGCTGAACCAAAACTCGGCTGTGACCGGCGGCGGGAAGTTCGAGCAACGGCGGTCCGTTGGCAGGTGCGAAGCGGGCATACATCCAGCAGGTAGGACGGTCCGTCGGCAGGTGCGAAGCGGGGCCTACGTCCGGTAGGATTTTTGCCATGTTGTTTGGCAGAGGAGGAACGGCAGGAGGACCGGGAGCAGCGGGAGAAGGAGCAGGAGGAGTGTGCAACGGCGGTCCGTCGGTTGTTTGGCGGAGGAGAAGCGAGAGGAGGAGAGGAGAGGGAGGAGGAGCGGGAGGAGGAGGATAGCGAGGAGGAGTGGGAGGAGCGGGAGGAGCGGGAGAAGGAGCGGGAGCCTTTTTTTTCTTTTTTTTTTTCGTAGGAGATTGCCATGGCGGGATCTTTGTCACGTTGTCTGGCGGAGGAGGAACGGGAGGAGGAGCGGGAGCCGTGGGAGAAGGAGCGAGAGTAGGCGTGGGAGGAGGAGCGGGAGGAGGAGGAGGATGGCCCGGGGGGCTCGTTCGGCAGGGCAGGATCTTTGTCACGTTGTTTGGCCGAGGAGCGGAAGGAGGAGCGGGAGCGGCGGGAGAAGAAGCAGGAGCAGCGGAAGAAGAAGCAGGAGGAGGAGCATGCCATGGAGGTGGGTTGTTTGGCGGAGGAGGAGTGGGAGCAAGGGCGGGAGCATCGTGAGAAGGAGCGGGAGGAGTTGCCTGAGGAGGAGCGGGAGGAGGAGCGAGAGGGGTTTAACGAACACGAGGAGGAGCGGGAGGAGGAGCGGGAACAGGAGTGGGAGCAGGAGTGGGAGAAGAAGCGCGAGGAGCCGCATACGTGCGGAGGCGGATCAACGTGCGGCAGGTAGGAGGAGCGGGAGGGGGTACAGGAGGAGGAGGAGAAGCGGGAGAAGGAGCGGGAGGAGGAGCGGGAGGAGTGGGAGGAGGAGGAGGAGGAGGAGGAGGAGCAATTGGAAATGGAGAAGCAGCCAGAGGGGGAGCGAGAGAAGGAGAGGAGCGGGAGGAGGAGCGGGAGAAGGAGCGGGAGCCTGTTTTTTTTTTTTTTGTTGGAGATGGCTATTGTGGGATCTTTATCACATTGTTTGGAAGAGGAGCAGGAAGAGTGGGAGCAGTGGGAGGAGCTGGAGGAGGAGTGAGAGGGGGAGGAGGAGCGGGAGGAGGTGCGGGAGGAGCGGGACGGGAAACGGGAAGGTGCGGAGGAGGCGTGGGAGAAGGAGTGGGAGCCTTTTTTCTTTTTTTCCGTGGGGGATGGCTATGGTGGGATCCTTGTCACATTGTTTGGCAGAGTGGAAGGAGGAGCGGAAGGAGGAGGAGGAGCGGCAGGAGGGGCCCGGAGAAGAAGCACGAGGGGAAACGGGAAGGGGCGAAGGAGGCGCAGGAGAAGGAGCGGGCATTCTGTTGCTGTTTCTGGAGAGGAAGGATGACGGTGGCGACGAGACACGGGAGGGGGAGGGAAATGGTGATGACGATGAAGGCATTCACGAGGAGCATCTCAAGGGATCTATTTTATTTTATCTTTTACTTTCCGATGATGGTCAGGATGATGATGATGATGGTGATCATTGCAGCGATGATGACCAGTGAGAAGCGTGGGGAAGGGGTAGGAGAACGAAATTGCAAAACAGAAGGGATGGGAGGAGAGGTGTCCAATGGCCATGGCGGCCACGTTTGCGGCCGCGGCCGCGGATGGCGGCCCTCAGTGCCGTACCCGTGACCGTGACCGGAACCGGTCACGTTCCATTTGGTGTTTTTTTTGTGAACGGCCATTCACGGTGAATGGGCCGCCCGTTTAAGAGTGGTGGTTTTTTTTTTTTTTTTTTTTTTTTTTT